CCCCCCCCCGTTCTGTTTTATTTAAATAATTGGCTAGACAACGAGTGACAAAAACCGTTTTTGTTCCTCGTCCTCGGTTGCAGCTGAATTTGTCTTTGTGCCATTTTTTTTTTTTTTTTTTTTTTTTTTATTTCGAATCATAGTGCACTCTTGCGTTAGTTCCCGCAACTGTTTTAGAAATTTTGCAATTAAACAATCAGTGTTGAAATAATTTCTCTTAATTGTAGCAAACACATTCTATACCCATTGCTGACTTGATCCACCGATGTATATAACTTTGTCACACATGTTCTTTTATCAAAATTATACCGTTTTTATATAATTTATTATGTAAACATGTATATTTGGACTATAATTGAAAATAAACATTGCAAAAAAAAAAAAAAAACGTGATCAAAATTCTGACTGACTTTTGGAATTCTTGACCCTCGATTCATTTTCTGAAACAGTTTTGGGGAAGATTCAGCGGTCTCGATCGTTCGAAAACTACATATCAGTTTCCTACGCGCTACGTGTACGATTAAGACGCGAGCGTATCCCGATAGAGCAAGCGAGATATTTCATACAGCCGATATAGTAGTACGTTATCCGATTTCTATTGAAGTTCTATTAGCAATCATCCCCAATACTTCGAACTGAATATACATCATACAGTCGTTTCTTGTAAGGACAAATTGATGGATCGCTCAGGTAAGTTGAAACGGAACGCGAACGAACGGTCGTCGTCTGCGAAATGTTGTCTTCTTCAACCTGTTGCGACACGAATCGTATTTGTCGGTACACGGTGCGTTCGAATGCGCATTCGATTCCTTGAATGAAGATGCGATTATCGTATCTCGAGGGGGACAATCACGAGCGAATGCGAGATCCGCTTTAGATCCGATTCGAGGCTGGTCCGCGTCCCTCTTCTGAAGAACGCTTCTCCTCGCGCTTCCGAACGCAACAGACAACGACGTTTAAAACACGAAACACGGACTTGAAGTGTCGAACGAAAAGTATTGTTTGCGTATTGAGACGTAAAATGGCTGTGCGTCCACTCTACTAAGTAATAAATCGACAACAACATTAGATCAGTGGAAGATTACCAAGCACTGTGTTCGGGATTTGTTCCAGCTAGGAAGCCGACCATAGCGGCTCAGATGCATAGCGACCGGGAGCGAGAACGCGAGAACAGAGATCGGCCAAGCGGGAGCAGTAGCGGTGGCGGCGGCGGCAGCGGAGGCGGAAGCGGTGCAAATAGCAACAGCAACGCTAATAACAACGGTAACAGTAACGTTGGATCTGTCGGTAATAGTCATCATCCATCGAGAAAAGAAGAGCAGTCTTCTGCTCCTCCTCCTCCGCCAACAGTAGCACCGCCACCAC